TCATTGGGTACTGGTTTATACCAATATTTTTCATAACTACGGCGTTGAAAGTGAAGATTTAAAAGGAGGAGGAGAAATAATATTACTACTACCAGTATTGATCGGTGATATTATTTGTCGAATTATGAGGTCTGCATCTGAGGAGGGATTGTGGTAATATAAAACTACAGCCTCCATATTCAAAGAGTACTTGAGATTTGGAAACCTAGGAATTGGTCTCAACCTAGTATTTTATAAATAAATAAACTAGAACCAAATCCTAGACCAACTTTGATTTGGAATTTGATAAAGTAGAGAGTTGGTTAATCCTGCCCAAATTAGGAAACAGCCAAAATAAAAATATCTTTTTAAAAAAACAAATAAACCGGAATACCTTTTCCCTTTGGAAGAAGGATTAATTATCACAAATTAGTTGAAATAAATCAAGTAAATTAAAAAAAGGAATTTTATTTCAGTAAATTAAGATCATGATGATATATACCCAATCAACTAACATTGCTAGAGACCTCAGAAACAATGGATCGATCCAGGCAAGAGATCGATTAAGCTATTAAATATGTCAAATCATTGTTGTATCTATAAAAGTATGATATTAAGGTAAACATAAAGTGTTTCCAAATAGGGAAAGTTGATAGTATTATTTTTTAACAAAGTAAAAAATAAAAATAAAAGTAAACTTAGACATATAAAATGGAACAAGGCTTTAGTGGTTTGCAACAAGCATTTGATAATTGATAAGTAGATTTTTTGGGATATTCTTTATTGATAAAACTCCATAATCACTTAGAGTCGTCTAAAGCTTAAATTTTAAATTGCACACATTTATAGTTATTTAATTTTGATTATATCTCAACACGTTGTCATCTCTCACGTGCAGATTCTATTTTATCGTTCAAACATAAACAGAAGGATTTGCGAGGAAGTAATCTTCAACAGTCTTATAAACTCTAGTTTGCCTCCTAAAACATCTCCCTCGATCAGTGAATACTTGGTTGTCAAGTTATTGTTGTCAACAACATGGATATTGTGCTTCAAGTACTTGGTAGGAGAATCTGCCATTTTCAAAATAAGGCAATTATTGACCCCTTGATAATTTAAAAATCACACATTTAAATTAAATTTCCCAATTCTGAATAGAGATCTCTTTAGCGCTCATCTCTGCCATTTTTATTTATTTAATTAAGTATCTCCTTTGGACGGGAGCCTTGTAGCAACGATAAAGTTATCTCTGTAAGGCCTGTACGTCATGGGTTCGAGCCGTGAAATCAGCCATTGATGTTTATATTAGGGTAAGCTGCCTATATCATACCCCTTGATATACGATCCTTTCATGGACCCTCCGTAAACGCGGAATGCTTCTTGCACCATGTTTCCCCTTAAGCATTTCCTCTATATAGGATAATTTAATAGTTCACATTCAGATTGTGCCTTCAATTATCATTATTATATAGAATTAATTCCTATAATCTGTATTGATTGAATCGAATTAATTGTGACAAGATACAAGGCTTTCGGAGGCCAATTCACGAGAAAAAAGCATAACAGAGTAAAGAATTACACGGTTTGAGATAAGTAATACTTCTAAACTTGGTTCTGAGGGTATAAATCTCGTATTATGTGAATTGTATGAAGGTGACGCACATTCTAGGCGACGGGCGTGTAGGCGTGCACCGTAGAAATTGTGACTTAAATAATTTCTGTGAATATGTAAATTAAAGAATCATGTTATTATCGACATATTCTCCACGTGCTAGATAAATTGAGTTGAGACTCGTAGTAAATATTATGTTTAGGCTATATGCCGATATTTTGGGACCCATAGGGTCGTGTTGCTGTTGAATTTAATTGTTTAAAAATATAAATTTCATGCTCAGTCATGTTCATACATTGTGAGGATATTGATGGGATCGGGTTGCGCGCTGCAGCAGACCATATCGACTTTATATATATTATTGTTATATTGATCGGGGCTGCCCGCCTGCAACAGGACACATCATCTTTATATCACGCTTGGGCTGAAGGAGCCCCTGCGGAGTCTGAACCCCCCACAGTGAGCGTAGATGATTTATATTCGGGGTGGACTTCCTAGGGAATGGACTTACCTTACTTATTTATATTTGTGATGAATTTATATGGACATGGATCTTGTCAGAATCATTATAATTTTGGGATAAATTTACCCCTGGGCTAGATTTGGCCTTATACGGTACTGAGTCACTGGGTGTCAGTTGATATATATAT